AAATTGCATCCAAGAAATATTATTATAAAATATAATTTTTAAAAAAATTGCTTAGAAATTCAACTTAGATATAACATTATATGTACACAGCGTTCGTTTATGGAGTAAATTTTACTATTAAATACTAAATACTAAATTTTACTATTAAATACTAAATATTAGTGAATACTAAATACTAATGTTTTTACATATACTTTTACATAAAAAAACATATAAATAAGCAAATAAATATTAATATATTTTCAGCATAAAATGCATCATTGAAAATGTAGTAATTTTCTATTTCTAGATAAGATTTACTTTATATAAGACATGAGAAAATAAAACTAAACTTTTTTTGGCTACATGCTTTAGTTTCATAAAATTTCCTAATTTTGAATATTATCTTGATTATATTTATACACGATAATCAGTACATATATATTTCTATTAATAAAGTCTATTACTATTTACCTTGATTATATTACTTTGTGAAAATGCGAAAAATCCTGAAATATCCTCCATAATTTTAATTATAGAATACCATGGTATGTAATTTGTTTCACGTATTAGATAAGACGTGAGTTTTTCGAAGATAACAAAGTCAAGTTCGCCCGTTAATAGAAAATGATATGCATCATCGATAAGTTGAGCTCGACTAATGAAATCTATGCTATTAAATTGCGTTGAGTTTAGACAGTTCAAAATATTTTCCCAACTTTTATTGTCATACTTAACACGATAATATCCTATGATTTATAGAATAGACAAATTTTCTAATTAAATATGCAAAATTCCTTATATAAGATTGATATTAAAATATATTGAATTTATCGATTCATATTCACCACTTTGTTCTGCGTTGACAATAATCCAACGATTTTGATTAATATAAGGCACTTGTATACTTTGATTATATGGGTTTAACCAAGCCATAAACGAATTGTCAGTGACAAATTGTATAGTATACCCTACAGGTATCCATAAATTTTTCGAATATGATTCATTTAGATATTTTTGCGATAATTTTATTGTGACCTCGTTTCCAAACTCTCGCGTCACCTCCAGCACGGGATAGCGTTTCAGCGTTATCCAACTATTCATTTTTTTTCCTATGTTAATTTCCTCTTTTTCTGACATGTTTGTTAAAACTGGTTGCATAAAATCGAAGAAATTGAAAGTACTATTATTGGAAGTACTATTAGAGATATCAAAAGATGCTGATCTTGCTTGACTAATTAAAATAAAATTTAATATTAACGTTATATAGAAAAAATTGTAAAATTGTTATTCAATTCATTTATATATTAATTTCATGCGATCTATGGTTTTAATATTTATTATTACGTTTAATACAATACGTAGTGCATAATTATATATTATTACTTACCCGAAATTTATATAATTAACGAGACTCGACATAAATACATTGCTAGGCATTATTTCTGATAACATGTGTATAATGACGGGTGCTGTAAATTAATACAATAAAAAGTATACAATTAAACATGTATATAAGATAAATTAACTTAATATGGCGTTTATAAATTGTATATATAATTCATTTTGCAGATAAATATTTGTTTTAATTGTATATTTCTTTTCATGATTATGTAGTAAAATTAATATATAAATGAAACATGGACAAATTTATTTACACACATACAAGCGCACACTCAACTAATTTTATATATATTTGTAATATTTATATTTGTAATATTTATATTCGACAACTCTTGGTAAAAAATTTTTGAATTATATGATAATTATATTGAATTAATAATTTTACCTTTAATTTGATGTATAAAAGGAAAAAGTGAATTAAATGATTCATTAACTTTTGATACGAGAGGCATATCGTAATAATTATTTAAACGAAGACATTCTTGTTGAAATTGTACTGCAAATAAATATAACATATTCGAATCTGTAACCGACAATATCTATAAACAAAAATTTTGATATAATCAATTATTATTATTATTATATATTTTTGATTAGTACAATTTTAAAAACATAAGAGTACAATTTTAAAAAACATAGATTTTTTAAATGCTATTTAATAAAAACTTGTCATTATTTAAATTATATAAAGAAACTTTTTGCACATTCTTTATGTATAATATCTTGCAGTGTATTATGTGTATTTTCTCAATATCTTTATATTTTACAAATTATAAAAATTTAAAACATGAACAAGCAGTATTCGCTAATTTTGAAAAACAAAAGTAATTTATAAATATTTAAAAATTCTATCTTCTGTACATTTTCTATAGTATCAAGATACTATAATAGCAAGATCTTTTTTTAATAATGTTATAGCACAAAGATTTTGTAAGAAAATGACCTGATTAACAATCTTAATCCCCAAAAACGTGGCAATACCCTCGTTTATCCAATGATAAGATCCTCGAAATTCTCCGATCATATTATTAAAGAATTGATTTGCTATTCTACGTGCTATTGTAAATGCTACATACATTTTGCGTCCAATAGGATGTAAAATTTCGTCATATATAACAGCTGTCTCACTGAAGAATGTTAAAATAATTCAATTAAACATTTTTATACAAATATAAAGTTTAATTTTGATCTTTTAACATTTTAACTAAGGTCTAATCTTGATTTTAAAAGGAAATTTTTCTTTAGTGAAAATATATATATATATATATATATATATATATATAATTTATATTGTTATTTATATTATATATACGTTTTTAGTTATGTACATGTGTACTATACCTGCAATAAAGAAATCCCCATCCTTCTATATAATTATCTTGAAAATCCGGAATTACGATAATGTTCATGTTTGGTAGAAATTCTGTTTTAAAGATCGTATTTGCTTGCAAATACGATCTGGAAGATCTAATAGTCCATTTCGTGAATTCTAGTTGTCGTGCCACTTTTTTTCTGCTCCATATAACAACAGTTCGTTTCTTGTCGAATGTATCGGTATCGTTAAAAATTTTGGCAAGATCATGGAATATAATTGCAACGGAATAAGGAAATATATTAACAGCTTTCTCGTGATATACCGTTTTCGTTGAATGAGCGAAAACTGTGTTTTGAATGTTTGTGTTTGACAAAAGTTGATAATATCCATTATATTGTACAGAAATTTCAAAATCGGTTTTAGTATCCAACTTGTCACAATATGGAAACCATAATTGGATTCCTGTCTCAAGGAAATCGGTGGCCGCAATCAACCATCTATAATATTTTAATTTTAAATCTTAAAACTTTAATCATCATTAATATACAATACTTGAAAATTGCTTAAATGCGATTTGAAAATTTTGAAGAATAGTATTCAACATATATTTTATTATTGTGTTACGTTATACGATATTTCTGGCTTCTATTAGATTATATGATATACGATGGTATATTTTTACATTACAATATTTTTTTCAAAATATATTACAACATCCAGATTATTATCCGAATATTATTAGAATAAAATTTAAGTAGACAAATTAAAAATAAGTGGAATAATTAGCATGGTGTCATAATTTTTATCTGGCTAGTATATTTAAATTTGTTAGATTCATATATTTTATCATTTACTCACACTTTATCATTTACTTTATCATTTAAATAACGTGACTTCCAATAAAAACTTCCTGTGTTTTCTATGGTACCGATGAAATTTACGATGAGTTTATAAGTATTAGATGGTAACAAATTATTAGCAAATTGAAAAACAATTGTTTGTCTTTTATTATCATACGTATACATCGTCGGCATATAAGTTTTATAAATAGTATCAGTAATAATAAGTTTTGTTGCCGCTTCATGTATTTCCAGGTTAAATATCTTCAAAGTTATGTTGTTTGTTTTAGCATCAACTTTAAAAGTTATTTTAGATTCACCAAAGAAAATAAAATTATGTTCTACTCGTCTCTGATCGATATATGATTTAAATATTTGATAAACATCTGTATGACTGAAATAGCTTTCATCCAAGCACGGTGAGACTGAGATGCGATATTTCAACGGTCTCCAATGGTTTTCGGTAGCACTTTTTACCATGTTAAATATTAGACTAACACTTAAAAATAACTTTAATAATTCTATAATGATTTTCATTTTCATATCTGTAATAGCATTAATTTATCAGATAAAAATAAAGAATTATAGGTAACGAAAAGTAATACAGAGATTTTATGGATATTTTATAGATGTCTATAAAAATGTGTCTGAAATTTAAAATCTAAGACTTTTATAAAATGTAAAATTAGTTTTCTCGAGTATCCGTGATAGATTATTTTTTTAAGTTTAAAGATTTTTTTCTTCTTTTTTTTAAAATAGCTATATACTAAATTTAAGAGTTTATTTAATTTCTTTTTAATTATTTATAAGTACATAATTTTTATATCTATATCTTTTAATTATTATATTTATAGTTAGATAATTATGAATATTTATAAATATATTTAAAAATAGTTTATATTTTTTGATATCAGTTTTTGATATCAGTTAAATCATATTAACACATTTTTCTTGAAACATAAAAAAAGAAATATCTATTTTATTAGAAAAAAAGCATAATTTTATATATTGCAAAGTACTAAAAGTACTTTAAAAATGAAAGAATGAATTGAAGAAAATAATATTATATCTTTTTCTATCTTTTTTTAATATAAATTCTTTGTTCGATTCATTTTCATAAAAATGTTATGTCATGATTCATGTTACTTCCCCTTATATGAAAATTATATTCAGGATTATAATCCTGTGATAATAAAACTGATAGCTAACGAATTTCCTTCATAAGCTGTTAATAGTAATAATATGAGCGCAATCATAACCACCTCGAGAATTCATTAAATACAAGCACAGTATTAAATACCAGCAATTGACATAATATATATAAAAATAAATACATTATCATAAAAATAAACTGTAAAATAACATAGAGATAAAATGACTAATTTGCTTGATTTTATTAGCGGATACTATTATATTCAACTAGATGCTACTTGATGCTATTTCGAATACAAAAAAAAACATATAAATTATTATACAAATTATTTTTTTAATTATTGTTAACAGTATATTGCTTATAATGACGAATATTAAAATCAGTACTTAAAAGTAATTTTAATAATTTCATGATTAATTGTTATTTCAGATATAAGTAATAATGTTTCTTTTTGTCAGAAAAAGAAAAGAAAAATAACGACAAAATGTAACGCAGAGATTCTATCATCATCAATAAATGCTTATTTTAAATTTCAAAATCAGTTCCGTTCCTTCCTCTTAAAATGGATATACATTATTAAATAAAGAAAGAAACAAAGAAAATAAAACATTTTGATGTTATTGCTTAGTAATATTTAAAAGGAAATTTTAACGAACATTTTATATATGTCTTTGTTGTAAACATGTGTTTGCATGTTGAAAATAAATATTTGTTATGTTATTCTCTTTGTAAAATACTTCAATTTATCTCGATCTACATAATTTTGATCATTATATAAAAAAAATTATGATCTTTTTATTCCGTTTTATCTTTATTACGAAAAGTGAAGAATACAGTATTGAAAATTTTTAACTTGTTCTAATTTTTACATTTTTTATATATATTTATACGTTCTTGCTTAATAAGATTTAAAAATAATTTTATGTATTTTTATCGCAAACATGTTTTTATATGTTGAAAATAGACGTTTATTTTTATGTTCAATTTATCTTGATTTACGAAAGTTTATTATGTAAAATAAAAATTCAAAATTATTTATTTGATTTTATAAAAAGTTGTGAAAAATGCAGTCTTGAAAATTTTTAACTTGCCTTAATTTGTAAATTTTTTTATATATATTGTAATTATAATATGAAATAAATACAACTTTAAATTTTTCTCTTTCCATATAAAAGTAAAATATTTTAAATCAATTATTTTAAAATGATATAATAAGCATTTAACGTTATCTAGTTAAGATCCATTCTTTTTCTATATTATTAAAAAATAAATAAATTTTTATTTTATCTGTTAAGAAATATAATTGTATTGCATTTAAATAAAAATTTTATTTTTATTTACTTTATTTTTATTTATTTTCATAAAAACTTAATTTTTATTTATAGAACTAATCTCTGTATCACAATGAAATTTTATGTATAAAAAAGTTCTATTACTATTATCGAATGTTTATTTAATTTAATTTAAATTTCAAAGATTTGATTCTTTTTTCTCTCTTAAAATAGATATACAAAAAACAAGAAATAAAGAAATTCCTTTTAAAAGTAATGCTTATAGTTGGCAAAATGCTAGATTTATATATAAAATAAAGAAGAAATTATTAAGCACACTAAGAGTGATTTAATTTATTCGAACATAAAAAATATCTACGTTATACCATTTCTGTGTTTAAAAATAAATTGTTAATTAAAAATTATTAATGTAAGTATTACTTATGCAAATATCAAAGCATTTAATTAAAAGTCTAATTCAATTTATTTATTTCACATATAATATATGTGAAAACTTTTCTACTTCTACTTCTATTTCTACTTCTTATATCAATCAGATTAAATTTATTGTTACTTACTGAATAAAAATTGTTTGTGTGATTAATTTGGACTTTTCTTTTTACAATTTACGATTACCACTTTTTTAATATGTAAATTGTTAGAAATACATGCGACCACAATCTTAAGTTCTAGCTCAAGAGTTGATGGAGTACTGACAACGATACTGGCTGGGATCATGATAAATATGCGATATTGTGTGTATGAAAATAAAGGTAAGGTCATAGATGACTCGTTAGTAAAGTGGCTATATGTACCGCACATGCGTATATGTATACTTAACGTTTCCCACAAAACTCCTTTACTTTTTCAAATAATAAAGTAAAATGTTATCTACACAAATTATGATTTTAAAAAAGAAACGTTTTTATTTCAAATCTCATAATATTATAAAAATATAAAAATTGTTTAGAAATAAGTGATAGTATATAAATAAAAAATAAATGGAGCAAGAATTGTTTATAGTAATAAAAAATTATAAATAACAAAAATTATATAATTTTTCTGAGGTTAATTAAATAATAAGAGATAATGTTATTAACGTTACTATTATTTTTTTAATATGATTTCGTAATGAAAGAGATTTTAATTTTATTTGTCATAGTAAAATGTTATCTTTCATTTTAAACTTTAAATTGTATTTTATTGTATTATGTATCCAAAATTAGAAATAAGTGTAAAATTGTCAATTGATAACAAAAGAAAATAATTAATAATTATATTAAAGATACTTACTTTAAATTATAAAAAATTATTTATAAAATATTTATACATATACGCGCGCGCGCGCGTGTGTGTGTGTGTGTGTGTGTGTGTGTGTGTGTGTAAAAATTGGCATAAATGTTGAATAATGAAGATATGATATGATCTACACAATATATAAGAACAATAAAAGAAAATTGTGTTCGTCCGAATTCATTCTCTATAATTATTTTCAAAGTTTCAAAGATTTATATTTTACTTAAAACATAAAAAACGTCACACGATACGTAATGCAATTCTAGATTAATATATACTTACATTATAAAATAAATAAGTTTAATCTTCAATAAATAAACTTTTGTCTTAATGAGAAGAAACTATCTCAAGATTATATGCTACGCTGTCGCCTTTTGTATATTTGACATATTTTATACTAATACACGCGTGGCAAATAAGTAATTATAATCTTAAAAAATTAAACTTGCCATTCTGCATACAAAAATTATTCAACATATAATTAAGCGAATACATTATTTTTGTATTAAAAGACGAGATATTATAATGTTCTGAAAATTTATTTAAGTTTGCAAATTTAGAAAATGTTTCATAGAATTTTTACAAAGATATTTTCAAAAATATGATATTTTGATTGTAGACATATTAAATGATTATCTTACAAAAATATAGTTTAGATAATAATGTATATATGTATTATGTTAAAATTCTAAACAAAAAAGTTTTGAAATATTAGAATTAGAAATGAGCAAAATTAGAACTCGAAGTATTTAATTTCTACAAATAAGAAATTTGTATTATTTCTTTTCTCCATTAATATTTTCAACATAACTGTGATTATAATGTAACAAAAGAATAATAACTTATAACGTTATTTAAAGTTATTCTGTTTTTAAAAAGTTCTCGAAATAATTAATGTGTTTTTCGATTTCGGACATTCGTGTTTCTATCTTCCGATGAATATGCGTCATTATTTCAGGAATGATAATCTTTTTCGCAAAATCGCTCACCTGAAACGGATCATGCCAATATTCATTATAATAATCTTGCAAGATATTAAAGAAAATGTTTACCATTTCCGAATTTGTGAAAAACAATTTGAGATAAAATATAAAAGAAAAAAAATGATATAAATAAAAAGAAAAATAAAATAATATTTAAAAAAACAAAGAATAAAATGAACAAAAAGAAAGATATATTTATTTATAATATGATTTACGAGACATAATGCTATCTTATTTTTGACACAATTAAGAAATATATAGAATGTTTTAATTTCTAATGGTGTTTGTAGTGCAGGTAGAGCGGGTCAAACTCAGTAAAAAAGTCCTCTACTCCTTTTGCGATTTTCACAATTAATAAGTTAAATATTAATTATTAAAAATTGTAGAATAAGTTTTCATCTGCCGGCCTATCAACTAATGCAAATACGCGGAGAAGTGCAATTATTCAGCATGCGTTCGCGATTGATAGGAGAACGGCGAGATATTTAGACGCAAAGTCTACAAATGATAGAACATCTGCTTATAATGCACATCTTCAAACATTTTGTTTGAGCGCATTATTGCAAATGCGTGTTAGATAATTGCACTTTGTCGCTTACATTGGCTGATAGGCGGATACATGCTCATTTTACGATCTTTAATTAATCACTCGTTATTAATTGCAAAAATTACAAAATGACAAAGGAATTTACTGCTCAGTTTGAACCGCTTTACTTGCACACAAGCAATATTTCATTAGGAATCAAACACTCTGTACGTTTCATACATTCATTTCATATATCTACGTATGTATATAAAAAATTTACCTTATTAAGTTGCTCTGTAGAATAAACGTGATTGATAATGTCTGTTAATGCTACTATTAAATTATTATCGCTGCAAAAACAGAAATCTGAGATTTATAATTAATACGACAAACAGATTTTTATTATTTTAAGCATACAATACGTCTTTATAAAGAAGATGTTACCTGGGATATAAGATAAATTTTCTAAAATATATAAACTTTTCTAATATATAGTCTAGTACTAAGTTATCTTTTGCATGTTTTGCAATAATAGAATGAAAAATTGTAATATAATCTCGTATTTCAGTGAAATATCCTGATTTCAATCTATCAATATAGCCGAAGATAATAGTATGATTCTTAGTACATGCTAAAAATTCTAAAATCTTTTTGTCAGTTTTTCTTGTGTTAAACACATCGTTCCAAACAGTATCATTTGCCATCATCAATCCACTACAGTATGTCCATTCTTTGCCTAACCATGGGAGCAGACTAAAATATTTGATAAAACAAAATAAAATTTGTATATAATAATTCAACTCTTATTTTTTTATATTGAAAATTATACTGATAATTTATTATATAACACATGATAAGACAAATTGTAATTAGAAATGTCACCTATGTGGTTCAGCTTTATTGAGATGTCCTGATAATGTTAAAGTAGCAAAGTCCATACACTTAGAAGAGTTTAGAATGCAAGTCCATCTCGTGGCTTCTTGTCTTAAAGATTTAGTAAGAACATTGTCCAATGTTAATACTTCGTAATTTAATTTCTTTTCCAAAACATTCTCAAAAATTAATTTAAAATGTTTCTAAGAACAAACAAATAATATAAATTTTATACTCATTTTTTGCCATTTATAAAAAGAAATATAACTTATAAGCAAATATATGCATTTACTGTAAGAATTTTTTATATTTCAATTTTTCAATTTTTATTTTATTTTATTAACTAAATAAAACATATTTTTTGAATTTCTTTACCTTACATAAAATATTGGCTTTTGGTCTCATTTATATATATAGAGCTTATTTTATGAAAGTTTTATATATATAAAAAACTTTTATAAAATAAGTTATTTTTAATAATTTATTTTATGTATTTTGTTAAGGTAGAATAACTCTTTTATAAAATATTTTCATACAAAGTACAGAATTAAGTAGTAGAAAATAGAATTAAAAAATGATACATTTCTATTTTTAAATGTCGTATATTTGATATAAATATGATAATATAATAATAATAATATTTCTGTAGTTATATGTTCTATCTTCATAACAATTTTTCAGCTACTTCTTAATATATAAATTTGATATCTTATCGTAATTAAAATCATCAGATACATAATACTTATTATTTATAAAATCTGTTATTATTTACCTTGATATTACGACTTTGCGAAAATGGGAAGAAAGCCGATATTTCTTCCATAATTTTAAACATAGGATACCACGATATATAAAGTATTTCATGTGACAGATAGGATGTGAGATTTTTGAAGATGGCGAAATCAAGTTCGCCTCTTACTAAGAAATAATAAGCATCATTGATGAGCTGAGCACGATTAAGATCAGGTATTAAATCATGCTTAGAATGTAAACATTTCAAAACGTTTTCCCAATTATGATTATCATAATAAACTCGATAGTATCCTACAATATAATAAATAAAAAAATATTTGAAATTTACTTATATAAAATTAACTATAAAAACTATAAAAAATCTTTTAAGTTATATTTACCAGATTGTTGCACGTTGACAATAATCCAACTATTTCTATTAACATCAGCAATACGTAAAACTGGTTTATTTGTAGTTAGCCAATATTTAGATAATGGAGTTACGTGATTTGGAGCATCCAATATAATATAAAATACAGGTATCCACAAGTTTTTTAGTGATATATTCAGACATTTTTGTGATAATTTTATTTCGACCATGTTTCTAGAAAGCTCTCGTGTCACATTTAGCAGAGGATAGCGTTCTTGTGTTATCCAACCACTAAACCTTGTCTTAAAGTCAAAAGTTGAATCTACATCATCTAATATTTTTTGTATAACACTAAAGAACATCTCGGTATCATCCACATTATTTAAGCTATTGAAGAAACTGAACTTGCTAAATTTATAAAGTTAAAATAAACAAACTGTTAAACTTTATATCAAAAAGATACAAATATACAATTTATGCAATGTACTAATATAATATTTATTATTTTTGAGTCTTTGTAGTATACAATTATATACATTATAATTATTACTCACCGTAAATTTGCAAAATAATCATTTAAACCATTCGTAAACACATTTGCTGGCAATATTTGTGTTAATATGTGTATAAAAACGGGTGCTACAATAATTGTCATAAAATATATTGAGCATACAAATTAAATTAATGATTTTTGTAAATTTGCAAATATAATTAATTTTATAAGAAAAGTAAGTATTAAAAATTTAATTATAAATGCATAAACAGAAAATATATTTTTATTTTATATTCAACAATTTTTTTATAGACAGTTTTATTTTTCATGGACTTACCTTTAATGTTACGAATAAAAACAAAAAGTGAATTAATGTCAGAAGGTTTATCAGTGTTTGATACAAAAGGCATGTCATAATAATCGTTCAAACGGAGAGACTCATGTTGAAATTGAATTACAAATAATTCCATTATGTAGTAATTTGGCATAATCTACAAATAAGAGATTTAATGTAATCATTATTATGTTAAAAATAAATAAAATTTGTACTATTTTATAAACTCATAATTTTATAAAATTAAAAATATAACAAAATTCCTTAAAAATTCCTTATACAACAGAAATTAATTAATTGTTATTAAAATAATTCAAAAAAATGTCTTGTAATTCATTTTAATTTAAAGACATTTAATATTTTCTTACATTTTACATTATATAAACATTAGAAGAACAATCAGTTATTGATTTTAAGAAATAAAGATAATTTAAAAACTTTATAATCTTTCTATATCTTTCTTATCATTAATAATAATTTTTTTTTAATTGCAGTGAAAAAAAGTGTAAAAAAACAACCTCATTAAGAATTTGCATTCCCAGAAACGTAGCAAGACCTTCGTACAACCATGGAGAAAACCAAGATTGATCGACCAAACTATTAAAGAATTGCTGTACCATTTTGCGTGCTATTATGCATGCCACTTTCATTTCGTGTCTTTCGTGTCAAACGAATCTAATGTTTCAGTATAAATAATAGCTGCCTCACTGAAAAATGAAATAGTCCCATCAAAAAATTTTTATTTGAATATAACTCTGATCTTTAATATCTTTCAATATAAAAATCTATTCTTAGTTATACTTACTTATAAAAAATAAAGTCTGAAACTTTCCATGATATTATCTTGAAAATCAGGAATTACAATAAGATCTAATAATGAATGCACAGCGAAGAAATCGTAATTTAAGTTTGCTAAGCTTATGTTCTTGGCAATGTTCAGTGCATATTCTAATTGTTCTACTACATTTGGTCTGCACCACATATCGATGAAACGCTGTTCGAAGTTTTCATCAGACACACGTTCGAGATCCGACAATATAAACGCTATGATATAAGGGGATGTATTATCAGTCGAATTGAAATATGTAAAAACTATATCGTCATCCGTAATCTTTTCGACATTCGGTATGTTCGACAGAGCAATGTAATTTTCATTAAATTTTATAGAAATGGTAAAATTAGTTTTGAAATCCGATTGGTCCCAGCATGGAAATGCAAGATGAGCTCCAGGTACTCGTAAATCGATTACTGCGATCATATTCCTATCACATTTTAATATTAAATTAAAACTTGAATTATTGCTGCTATATAGAATTTGAGACTTGATGAATATTTAAATGCTTGTGAGATTTCAAAAATGATATCTAGTCTATTTTTTATTATTTTATTACCGCGTTATGCGTTTATTATAAATTTTCTTATGTCATATAATTCATAGTAATATTTTTATATTATATGATAGTCATGATACAAAACATTTATAATATTTATATTAGAATTAGAATATTATTAAATTTTAAATAAATGGTAAAATTAATTTTATGGTAAAATGGTAAAATTAGTACATAATCAATATTTTATAATAATTTTTATTTAGCTAATATTTAAATTTATTAGATATTAATAGTACTCACACATTTCCTCCTGTTTCATTTATGTAGGACATTTGGAAGAAGCCTGCTGTGTTATTAGTTATAATACTGACAAATTTTATGATTAGGCGATAAGAATAAGATGGTACGAAATTATCAATAAAATAAAGAATAATAGTTTCTGATTCTATATCATGTAATTGCATTATTGGTGTATAAATTATATCATTAATACCATCGGAAGAAAAAATCACTTGTGTCGCGTCTTCTTCTATTTCCATGTTTAACGCATTCAAACGTATGCTATTTGTCTTAATTTTAACTTTAAAAAATATGGTAGATTCACCATAATAAATAAAGTTTTTTTCCAGCTGATCGTTAATATATGATACGAATCTACCATAAATATTCCTGTCGTAAAAGTCCTCTACATTGATAAGTGGTATTAATTGAACATCATAACGCATTGTGTCTATTATTCCTCTATTGGAATGATGACGTATTTTAGTGTATGTGTTATAATCATTATTAAAATCATTGTCAGTAGCAGTTTTTACAGCGATAAATAAATAAATACTTAAAAGCTGTTTTAATAATTTCATCATGATTTTCACTTTAAATTTCTGTAACAAAAACGTTTCTCAGAAAAAAATATATTAAGAAAAAAATATTAAAAAATATTACACGCAGATTCGATTTTTGTTATCATATACATGACAACAGAAAATTAATTTCAATCTTTCATAAAAATTTTTGCTAGTCTTTAAATTTTAAACGCATGCAATATTCATACATAAAAAATGACTTATAATTAATGACTCATCTCTCATGAGCCAAATAGAGCCGATTGTATTGGACAAAAAAGTCTTCTATCATCCGCGATTTTCGCAATAATTATGAAATAAATAAATGAATAATAATTTATAAAAATTCGCGAATAAGTATATATTCGCGTAAAAAGATAGCGTTACGCGCACTGACAATTGCTAAGAGCGCAATGAGGTATTTGTGTATTACAATCGGATGCCCTATTATTTATTAGATTACTTTCAAATATCCTACAACATATACATATGTATAAATATAAATAAATCCTAAAAGAGATAGCAATAAAATTGAGAAAGAGACTTTTGTTGCTCCAATCTCCAATAAATTAGAAGAAAATAACGTCTTATATGTTTCAATCTCTGCAGAATTAGTTTATTGGTTCCTCGCACACTTGTGATAGAATCATTAAATGTTTAAATTTCAGAGTTTATTCTCTTTTCCTTTAAAATGATTATTAAATAAAGAAGCAAAACAAATTTAAATATATTTAAATTTATATTATGTATTAATGAAAACAGAAGATAATCAAGCTTTAAGAAATATTTTATATATTTCTTATAGAATATTTACTTTTTTATATTAAAAATTATTACATTTTGATTTGCACTCTGACTAGCTACTAACTTTATTATAATCTTAGCGATTAGTCGACAAATTACATATTATAAATAATTAATTTAAAAAAATTGTCTATTAAAAATTACTGATCATTATATGATAATCTTACTTGTAATTATAAGATAAATTAAATATTTTTTAAACTTAACACTCTCATTTCGGATTTAAATAATTTTAAACAAATCAGTCTAAATAATAAATTACTTATTTAAAATTTTTTCATAATTTTTTTTTCTTATAAAGTAAACATTACAAAATTTGATATCCATTTTTATCTTATATTAAAAATTATATGTATAATTTATTATACATCAAATCTAATTAAAAAGCTGTGATTGTAGTAAATATTACCTGTGTTTCAATTTGTTCATATGCAAACAAATAAGATACATGTAATCTAATTAAGTATAAATAGTCCAATATAAATTATTCACGTAAGTATTTGTGAAGCTATATAAATTAACACTTTAATTAAAAATTAATTTAAAAAATCCAATTGCTACCCATTGTTAAAATTTAATTATATGTAAAGATAATATATGTCTCTGTGTCGGTCAATTTGTTCTTATTTAACTTCTTATTTGTTAAAAATTTGCAACATATATTTTATTTAAAAAAAAGTATTTTATTGCAAGATGTTATTATTTTAAAAACTATGAAAAAAATTAATTAAAAATTATAAAGAGAGCATTACATTTGTATTCTTTATCTTATATAATTTGATATATAAAATATACTTTTAAAGATAATTATTTTAACAATATTCTTTTTTTCACTTACCTTGTATTTATAAAAATTGAATGCTTAATTAAATTTACATTTTCTTGTAATAATTAATTTAGAGTTGATAAGTTATCGTCGAGAACTGTTAGTAGTAAAAGTGTGTATATAATAACGTCTTATTTCATCTAGAGTATATCAAGCACTGGCGACGAAACCAATAGCTGAGATGAAACATAATACTCAAAAAAAATTGTAGAACAACAAACACTTGCTAGTCAATGTTTTGTAAGTGACATCGCATTCGAAGTTTTGTATTATTAATTTCTTTATATTCTTTTATGAAAAATAATTTTTTTATAAAATATATGTTGCAATTTACAAATTAATTATTTTCAAGTATTTAATTTTTTATTCTATTTCTATATTTATATTATATAATGAAAAAGCAATTACATAAATTATGTCAACAATTAGGCGATTTTTAATATTTCTAGAAATATTAAATATCTATATTTTTAATATCTTTACTTTTAATTTTGATAATTTATCAAAATCTAAATTTATAAAGTAGTATAATTGAAGTATAATTGAAATATAATTGAAAAAAGTAAATTACTCTTAGTACTTCAATTTAAAAAATTACAACTTTACTACTTCTTTCTTTTATCTAAATTGTAAACAAGAATATGAATATGATATTATTATAATATTTTGCAATTTATTATATATCATTGTAAACAGAAATTAATTTTGTCTTAACGAAATTAAACAATATTAAATTATTAATGTACTGATTTATCAAATTCTTCGTTCGTGTTTCACATTAAAAATAAAAAATTAATTTATTATTAATAAAATATTATCAATTAAAAAATATTAAGGTTTAATTAAAAATACCAATAAGAACAAAATATAACAATTTATTAACAATGAAATATATAATATTATATATAGACCGATATATAATATTATTCAATGCTGAGATCCTTTACTTTCAAAAAGCTTTCAAAATATTTAATTTGTTTCTTGATTTCTGACAATCTTATTTCAATCTTTCGGAGAACATGTGGAATTATTTTAAATACATAATTTTTTGTAAAATCGCTTACCTAAAACAAATTATGTTAACATACATTGTTAACCACATAGCATATGAGAGACAATATTTATCAATTATTTATTTGTTTCAATAATTGTTATCAATTATATTTGTGCAAAAAGAAGAAACGGCAATAAAAATTTAAATTCAAAATCAAAAAGAAAAAAATTAATAAGAAAATAAAGAAAGTATTTGTTACTCTAAGGATCAAATAAAAA